GCTGTTGAGTTGATTCTAACTCACAGCAACCCCCTGTGTTACAGAGTAGAACTGAGCTCCATAGAGTTTTCTTGGGTGTAACCTTAACGGAAGCAGGCCTTTCTTCTGCCACATCACTGGGTGGGTTTGAACCACCGACCTTTCTGTTAGCAGTCAAACACAAACGATTTGCACCACCTGGACCTTGTGTTTTCAGAACCACCACAAATAGAGATGGCCGAACAGTCCGTGTTGAATGAGTGATGTAGGTCAGAGAACGTGAGACATTTGATGTGGAACAAAGACGGGGAGCGTATAGTGAGGAGCAGGGGACCTGGAATAGCCAGTGTGGAATAGAGAACGTGGATTTGGCCAATGAAGAATAGAGAACAAGCCATGTCCAATGTAGAACATGCAATATGGTGTATCCAATGTAGAACAGAGTAGGAGGAACTTCAAATGTAGAACTGAGAAGGGGGATTCCAATGTAGAACAAAGAAGTTGGACAAACAGTGAGGGATAGAGTTCATGGAACTTCCAGTGTAGAACAGATGACTTCGGCTTTTGCTCTGAGCAAAGCAGGAGCCATGGAAGGTTCTGAGCGGGGAACAGGCGCCCTTAGCTGCTGGGGGTGGGGGTGGGGGACTGGAAGCCAGAGACCAAGGAGGAGGAGACTGCTGGCAGTGATAATGGTGGCTGGACGGGGGAAACCAGGTTGAACTCTTGTTACCCTTGGATGGAAGAGCCCTGAGGAGGTGCTGATGGATCAGATGTGAGGGTGAGGGGGTGGCTGAGCTGGCTTCAGAGTTCATGGCTGAGCTCTTGGAAGGATGGAGCTGCCGTTTTCTGAGGCAGGGGAGGCAGTGGAGGGTCTGGTTGGAGGGCAGAAGTGGGACCTGGACACATGTGAGTTGTCCATGGGACATCCATGTTGGGGTGCTATGGTGCAGCTGGAATCATGAGTTGGGGAGGTCAGGGTGTGAGGTGGAGATTTCAGCCTCTCAGAGCCTCAGTGGAGTCCCTGGGTGGTGCAAATGGTGAACATGCTTGGCTGCTAATTGTAAGGTTGGAGGTTCAAGTCCACCCAGAGGTGCCTCAGAAGAAAGACCTGGTAATCTACTTCTAAAAATCAGTCATTGGGTTTTAGAACCGTGGATTAGAACTACGGAGCACAATTCTACTCTGACATACATGCGGTAGACATGAATTGGAGATGACTCGATGGTATCTGGTTACTGGTGAGAGCCTCAGTATCTTCATCAATAAAATGGAAACAATTCCCCATCATCCATGTCTGCTAGAGGGAGCACATGAGCTCACGCCCCCCACCCCACCACATGCCCTGTGTACAGTGGGCGTGCAACAAATGCTCCCCCCAATCCTCCTTTCTTTCCTAGTCTCTTTTACGTGGCGTCCCACCCCCTTTTCTAAGAACCGCCCTCCCCAAATCCAAGTTTCCCTGGATCCCACCTGTATGCCCTATCCCTGAGGGGCATCTTGTGGTCCTTGACAATCCCAGTGACCATCATTGCTGGTCATCTCTCTCAAGGGGACACTCTGACCCAGAGGACCTATGTCTGGGTCTCCTGGGAGGCATGTCCATCTCCCAGACACACAGGAACTCAGACACAGTGAATCCCCTGCAAACAGAAACATCTGCACGGACTCATGAACAAAGACAAAAATACCCACAGAGACAAGGCAGTGCAATGACACAGGCCACACTCACAGGCACCTAACCCCATAAAGACCCTCAGACACCCAGCTACCCGAAACCCATTGCTGTCCAGTCGATTCAGACTCAGCAACCGTATAGAACAGAGTAGAGCTTCCCCATAGGGTTTCCAAGGCTGTAAATCTTTATGGAAGCTGACTGCCACATCTTTCTCCCTGGGAGTGGCTGGTGGGTTCAAACCACTGACCTTTTGGTTAGCAGCTGAGTGCTTAACCACTGCACCACTAGGGCGCCTTAGAAACCCAGCTACGCCCACATATATGTCCACATCCCTACAAACACAGATGGCAAAACTCAAGCATGTATAATAGAAGCCCTTTCCTCCAAGCTGTGAAATAGAGATCCTCAAATATCTGAGGCTGACATTTGGTCCTTGATCTAGCTGTGCCTGAAGGTGGCCCTACCCCTAGAATTTTTCCTGGAGCCCATTTGAGTTGGATGTTTTGTAGCCTACAGCTAGAGTCCTGGCTGGTGAAAGTGAATAAAGATTTTTCCAGGTGTGAAAGATTGAAAAAGGAAGCGTCCCAAGATTTAAGGGCAGCATGTTTACAAACGCCTGGAGGTATGAGATAGCATGGCCGGTGGCAAGATAGACTATAGTGTGTAGGATAGTACTGGCGGCAGATTGAAGTCAGTGGGGTTTGGTTTGAATTTAGTCTGAGCACTTAAGAGTCTAGTCCGTGGGAACCATTGATTGTTCTTGATCAGGGGAGTTCCAAGCTCAGAACTCTCAGACGGCAGACAGTGTGTGGCTGAATGAATGTTTTCGCTGTAGACCTGTGAGGTGGGTGTAGGTGAAGAAACCCAGCCTCAGAGACAGGCAGCTTTTGGCTCGGGGCCCCACAGCGCCTCCTAGGCACAGTCGGGACTCGAATCGCAGTCCGCACTTGCCGGGCGTCCGAGAACTACAGTTCCCGGCATGCGCCGCGCTGCGCCAGCGAGCCTGTGTCCCTCCTCACTGGCCCCGGTTGCCAGCCTGCTGATTGGTTTTACGGGCTGCTAGTCAGGGTGCAGTCGGGCGCAAAATGCTCCAAGCCCTGTGATACGCGGACTGTGCTCCCCGCCTGCGCCATGGTGAGCTGGGGGTCCCCGGCGCCCGGCCGCGCGGGGCTAGGGTCCCGCTGGCGGGATCCGGGGGGATGCCAAGGGCCAGGGTCCGTCTGTGATGGCTAGGGGAGCTGAGAGTCTGGGTCGCGTCGAGAGGTCGGGGCCCGTCTGGGTCTCGGGTCTCGCCGCCGGGACTGGAAGTCCCCGAGCGTCCTGGGGGTCCTGTCGAGTCTCCGGGGACACTTTAGGGGTCCTGGGGTCCTGCTGGGGGTCTTGGGGCCCCACGGGGGAACTAGGAACCCGAGCACTTTCGGATCCCCATAAGGGGGGCCCGAGATCCCCCAGGGGCTAGGGTCCCCCCTGAGGCCGGGGCCCCAAGGGAGAGTAGGAGCTGCTCCGGTGGGGTCCCTCGGGGCGCCCTGAAGGCTCTGGGAGGCCCTGCGGGTATCAGGGTGTGCTGAAGGGCCGGGGGAGCCCTAGGGGGAGCAGGCCGGGGGTCTTTGTGGCCCCAGGGGTGGGGTGGGGGGGCGGTCTCAAGTTCAGAGACAGCGCAGCCAGAACCCCCACGTCTCGGGCGGCTCTGGCTGGAACCCATAGTTTATTTTTCAAACTTGGCACCTGTGGTTCAGGCTGGTGCCGGGAGAGGGCGAGGAGACCCCAGCTCCGAGGGGTCCGGCCTGGGCCAGGGGAGGACGAAGACTGGGTGCCGGAAAGCGGGCCTGGCTCTTCCTTGGGGCTTCCCGAGGAGGAGCATTGATAGGGGTGTTAAAAGGGAGAAAGTCGTTCTGGGCCAGCAGTCCCGGGTACGAGACGGAGGGGCGGGAAAGGACCTTGGGAACCAAACGTGGGAACTTGGAGTTGATCTTAGCAGGTTCTCGGTTTGAGGCATGTAGGTGCATGGAAGGGCCTTGAGCAGTGGGGCGAACGTGGCTGTGAGGTCCCGAAAAATTCGGAGGGAAATGGAGACAGCTGGGGGGCGAGGCCGTGAGAAACGTCCCCGGAGGGACCTCTGACCTCGGAGCCTTAGGTAGAGGGAGGGATGCCTACCTTCCCTCCCTCCCGGTGCCTGGAGCCACAGTGTGAACCAGAAACAAGCCTCCTCCCTTTGCTTGGGAAGATTCCCGGCAGGTGGGGAGCCAGGCGGCAATGCTGAGATAAAGAACTCAGGAGGTGTTGGAGGGAGCCCGGGTCTTGGGAGACCTAAGTGGTCCATGTTGAGAGGGCCAGGAAGACAGTAGGGCAGTGAAGTGGGGCTGATGGCCAGCTGGCTGCAGAGCTGTTTACTGTGAGACTGGGAGGGCTGGGCTGCCTGAAGGGCACCAAGTTCGGTTTCTGAGGAAGTGATGGTAGATACTGGGAGGAAGCCTGGTCTGAGGGAAGACTGGCGTGGGCTGGCCAGGTTGCAGGTGAAACTTGGGGCTGGAGGTGCCCCTTTGGGGCAATGTAACGCTGAGTTGGTGGTTAAATCCTGGCAGGGGACAGGACCACAGGGAGGGGCTGCAGAGGGAGGAAAGCAGGCAGAGTCCCCCAGGCTTGATGTTTCAGAGGCAGGGGGAGAACTGAGCATGTGTGGGGGGCAGAGGAGGCAGGGTCTTAGGAAGGAGGGCACATGCCAGCACCCCTAGGGCAGGGCCATTAGTGCCAACCCTGTGTGGGTAAGTGAGAGTGAGGATGGGGAAACTAGGGAGATGCCCCCCCCCCCACTTTATTACTGAAAGAATATCTGTGGTCTCAGTTTACAACACACTAAAAAACCAAAGCCCTTCATAAGCGTAGAGAAAATGTCCTTTTAAGGACTCTTTTCTCCACAGCTGTTTTGAATTAGTATTGTGTTACACTACAGTATCTCCTGTTGGTTAGCTCACTTTTGCCTTGATTAAAAGGCCATTGCCGTGGAGTCGATTATGACTAATAGTGACCCTATAGGGTTTCCAAGGAGCAGCTGGTGGATTTGAACTGCAGACCTTTTCGGTAGCAGCCAAATGCTTAACCACTGTGCCACCAGGGCTCCTACCTTGGTTAAAGGAGTGTTTTAATAATATGAGTTAATCTTAAAATGATCTTTATTTCATTTCATTGGTGATTTTCCGTACCCAATCCATAACCCTAGTGGACAGTCTCGAGCAGAAAACTGTAACAATTACTGATAGATTAAGCAGGAACACCTGCCTTCAGTTCAGGCTGATTACTGGTAACGTTGTTTTTTTTTTTCCTAAGACGTTTAAAAATAACTACAGGAAAGCTTGGCCTGTATTATTGTTGAAAAGGTGAGAAAATTCCTAATGAAAATAAATCCATCACACTCAGTCATGTAACTCTATCTGAATCAGGTAATGAGGCTGGCTTTCAGAGAGGTTGACTGCAAAGGGAGGAGGGGGGCAGATGATGGGCTGGCAGGGCAAGTAAGGGGCTAAGAGGAATGTTGGCACTGAGAGCTTAAGGGAGACTCTGGGGGTCCTCCTGGGAGAGGGATGGCTCTGGACGTCTGCTGTGTGATGGGCGTGTTATGGCCCAAAGGTGGTCTTGACGAATAAATGAAACAAAATAGGAACTACCCCATTTCCAGATGAGGAAACTGAGGTTCAGAGAGATTAATACTGAAAACCCCTAGCAGAGGCCATAGGTGCGCCCCCTCTGGGCCCCAGCGGGTCAGGGTGAGCTCAGGGTGAGGTGAGATGGCCCAAGGCCCGGGAGGTAGGGCCCGGCTAGGTGGGGGTGTGCCCAGCAGGGTCTCCCAGGTGGGCTGGGGTGGGCCTGGGGTCATCCCGGCCCGCATTCCCCTCCCCGAGATGGCTGGCCGGGGCAGTCTGAGCATACAGGCCTCCCTCCCCCCAATCTGGCTTTTCTATAAATAGCCTGGGCATGGTGCGCACCCAGCTGGCGCAAGAGGGAGGGAGGAGGAAGCTGGTGACCGCTGGGACCATGCCCGTCTTGTCCTCCGCAGGCGGTGCTCGGAGTGCAGCTGGTGGTGACCCTACTCACGGCCACCCTTATGCACAGGCTGGCTGCGCACTGCTCATTCGCGCGCTGGCTGCTCTGCAATGGCAGGTGAAGGGGGGGCAGGAATGAGCCAGGGGGCGGGGCCGAAGAAAGAGGTGCAGGGTGAAGCCCGGGGTGGGCGGAGCCCTCAGACCCCGGAAAGCCCCGCCCACCAGTCTCCTCCCTCCCTCCCATCACCACAGATGTTAGCCCCTGCTGCTTTTTATTCTGGTTTGGGTCTCCGACCTGGACCGGTTCTGAGAACCTGGCAGAGACTATGACCTCTCTCTCCAGAGACAGGTGCCTGCCTGCTCCCCCAGGGGAGTTAGCAGGTTTGGGGTGTCCAGGACCCCAGCCCACAGGGCCTGGGTCAGCTGGAGACCTCTCCGCTCCCTTCCCAACCTACCGACACCCCGCCCCTAGCTGGGCTCCACCATCTCCCCACACCCCATCCTTGGGACCTTCCTCCTGACCCCTCCCTCTAACACCAGCCGCGAGCTTGGGGGTCACTTCCCGGGAGCCTCCATGCCTGAGCTTCTGTCTGTCCGTTTTGCCTTCAGTTTGTTCCGATACGTGCACCCATCTGAGGAGGAGCTCCGGGCCCTTGCAGGGAAGCAGAGACCCAGAGGCAAGAGGGAGCGGTGAGTGCACCGGTCCCTGGGACTCCTGGCGGCAGCTCACCAGGGCTGCGGGCCCTGACACGCCCAGGTGTGGCTCTGGGCACAGAGGCAAATCAGGGGATTCCTCATCCGTCATTCATCGTTGCCTCAAATTAACATCTAGCATTATTGGAAGCTCGTTGGGGCAGCCCTGTGGGCGGTGGTACCCACACGTTCTGGAGTGAAGTCCTTCCAGATCAGCCCCTTCCATGCTGAGGCGGCAAGAGAGCCTCCCAGGCTGGGGTGGGGTGAGGAGGGCAGCCCTTGTAGACCTGGTGGTGAGTGGGCGGAACCGCTCTGACCCTCCCCTCTCCCTAGGTGGGCCAGTGAGGAGAAGCCGCTGTCCGTGCCCCGAGACGCCCCCTTCCAGCTGGAGACCTGTCCCCTCACGGCAGTGGACGCCCTGGGTAACAGCCCTGCTTGTCCCCAGGTTCCCGCTCCTGCGCTGCGCTCCCTCCTCCCTAGCCCGTGCTGAGCCGTGTGCCCCCTCCCTTAGTCCTGCGCTTCTTCCTGGAGTACCAGTGGTTCGTGGACTTCGCTGTGTACACTGGCGGCGTGTACCTTTTCACAGAGGCCTACTACTACGCTACGTGCCCGGCTCGGGAGGCCAACATCGCAGTGTGCTGGTGCTTGCTGGCCGTCGCCTTCTCCATGTGTCCTTCCTCCTGCTCCCTGGGGTGGATCGTGGGGGCAGGATCCCTAGCTCCTGTACCCCTCCGTCGCTGGGGCCACAAACTTCCCCAAAATAACAGCCCTTGGATTTGCTCCCATGGGTCAGTGGTCTGGGCGAGGCTCGGCTGGGATGGGCGCGTCTCTGCTCCGTGGGGGTTCAGTCTCGGGGCCCTCGAACTCCGGACACCAAAGGAACAAGAGGACGCTTCGGGGCCTCCTCAAGACCAGCCCCCTCTTCCACCCTCCCATCACATTCTTCGGGTCAAAGCACTATCAGAGGTGGAGGAGGCACACAGAAAGAACGCCTGTGTTGGGTTGGCTTGTTAGGAGGGAGACTCGTCTGGAACCCACCCTGTTTCCTGAAAGACCCCCAATCTCTCTCAGGCCAGATTGGAGACAGCCCTTTCAACTATAGCAGCTCTGCAAAGGGCCTGTGAGAGGCTTGCTTGGGATGCCGCTCTAGGAACCCACCTATGATGGGTCAGGGGGCTGGAGGGCACCTAAAGATGCCCCTCAAGGGAGGGGCCACAGGGCTGGGAGGCCTTGTAGCCTAGGTGTCTGCCCACCTGATGCTGACCCGCCATCACACCTGTGCTGGCCCTGCCCCATCTGCCCATCTACTCTCCTCAGCCTCTCTCCTGCACCCCCAGCTCACTCTCCTGGGGCCCCAGCTCCCCAGGCCACTGCTAGGGCTGTCTTATGCTGGGAGTGAGGGGCGTGAGGCACCTTGGCTCTCGTGGCTTCCTTAGCTCTGCTACCAGCAAGGTGTTCCTGACAGTGACACGGCTCTACTTCAGCGCAGAAGAGGGCGGAGAGCGCTCTGTGTGCCTCACCTTTGCCTTCTTCTTTCTGCTCCTGGCTATGCTGGTGCAGGTGGTTCGGGAGGAGACCCTGGAGCTTGGCCTGGAGCCAGGTTAGTGCATCTGGGTGCGGAGGGGGCATGGAGTGGACTTGTTCCAGCATGTGCCGTCTCCACTAGCGACCCCAGTGGTTCCCAGCCCATGGGGCTCACCCAGGGTGCCCCGTGAGTTTTGAGTGTCAGCAGCCTGTGAGGCTTCAGGGACCAGAGGACCCCCACCTCTCCTGGTCTCTGACTGCCACCTGTAGCCACTGCTTCTCACGCAGGTGGTCCAGGTGACCCCTCCTGCCTGTGCTGTCCCCAGCAGCCATCATGATGTCTTCATTTATATACTTGTTGTTATTAGTTACCATCAGTCAATTCTGACTTATGATAATCCCATGTATGCAGAGTAGAACTGCTCCATAGGATTTTCAAGGCTGTGACCTTTTGGAAGCAGGTTGCCAGGCCTTTCTCCCCAGGCACCTCTGGGCAGGTTCAAACCACCAACCTTTTGGCTAGTAGTTGAGCACTTAACCGGTTGTGCCACCAAGGGATTCCTCTTTATTGTAATATCATTTTGAGGGAGCAGAGGTAAATGGTAAAAAATTCATAAAGTACAGGAGGGTGAACAGGAAAACCACCCTCCTACACCCATCCTCTTCCTCTGAGAAAACCGAGAGGATCACTTTCCTATTTTTACACAAAATGGTAATGTATAAGGCTCTACACGTTGCTTTTCTTTAACTTAAAAGCCATACATGTTGGAAGTTGTCCCTTGAGTCTATGTAGATTGTCTTTGGGAAAAAAAAAAAAAAGCTACACAGTATTTCATTGTATGGATGTTCCATGATTATTTAACCAGGCCCCGATTTATGGACATTTAAGTCTTTTGCAAGGAGCCCCTGGTGGCGCAGTGCTCTTCCGCTAACTGAAAGGTTGGGGGTTCCAACCCACCAGCTGATGGACGAGAGAAAAGACCTGGCATCTGCTCCTGTAAGGATTACAGCCTTGGCAACCTTTTGCTATTAAACAGTGTTGCACAAAACAATTTGTTTTACAACAATGTTTTACAGGAACAGCCTTGTGCATTTTGTCCCTGTGCAAGAAAGTGCATTTGTAATTTCCATAATATTGCAAATTGCCATCTAGAAAAAGATGTGGGTTTGGGCCCATTCCCCTATTTCCTCTCCAGGGGTGTTTCCGCAACTTTTTTGTCTTTGCTTACCTGATGGGTGAAAACACGAGGTTGAGCATCTTTTCACACGTTAGAGTCATTTGTGTTTCCCTTCGTGAAAAGGTCTGTTCCTTTGCCTGGTTTTCTATTGCATTGTTGGACTGTTTTTATTGATTTGTAGGAGCACTTTATCAACTAGATGGCAACTGGTTTTTTATATACTAAGAAAATTAACCTCTGTGTGGGGTAAGAATTGTGTGTATTTTTTTCTCAGTTTATTATTTATCTTTTCATTACTTGAATGATTTTTTAAAAAATTGTGGTAAATGTGTATAGAACCTAAAATTTGCCATTTTAACCATTTTTAAGTGTACAATTCAGTGACATTAATTGTGTTCACCATGTTGTGCAACCATTACCACTATCTAGTTCCAAAACTTTTTCATCAGCCCAAACAGAAACTCAGTGCCCCTTAAGCTATAACTTCCCATCCTCTTCCCCAGCCCCTGGGAATATCTAGTCTACTTTCTGTCTCTATGCATTTGCCTCCTGGGGACATTTCATGTAAGTGGAGTCGTACAGTATGTGGCCTTTTGTGACTGACTGCTTTCACACAGCAGAATGTTTTCAAGGTTCATCCATGTCATAGCCTGTATCAGTGCTTCATTCCTTTTTAGGGCTGAGTAATATTCCATTGTATGGATGGACCACATTGCGCTTATCCATTCATCTGCTGATGGACACTGGGGTTGTTTCTACCTTTTGGCTATTGTGAATAGTGCTGCAGTGAACATTGATGTGCAAGTGTCTGTTTGCATCCCTGCTTCCATTTCTTTTGGGTGTTGTAAAAAATGGTGAGGTGGCATCAGAGGTCCTGAAGCTTCACTAGGGGGAAGAATCACCATCAACAGCAGCCCAAGGCTGATTCCTATGAGGCTGAGGTCAAACATATTCCATCCTCCAACCTTTTTACCAATTCTAACACCAGCCGTCCCTTCCACGCTCTACATCTCTGCCAGGTGCAATAATTTGTTGCAGTGGCTACACAGAACTTACAGTTAAGTGGTTTATTAGGGAAGTAACAGGTTATAATTCACGATCAGTAATGACTCAGGATACAGTTCTTTGATCAGGACAGCTTCTTCTCAGCCATAACCACAGGCCGGCCTCTCTCTCTCTGTCTCTCAGGCCCCCGGCTCCTTGTCCCCGCCTCTGCCTGGCTCCGCCAAGTGTTACAAAACTCTTTAGCTCCACCAGTAAGTGCCTGGAAGCACCCCACTCCTCCAGCAAGCCTCCTGCTCAAAGGTGCTCAGCTCTCTCACTCCATGGGTTGGCTCCGTGGGCCGGGAAGCCCACCATACCTTCTCGTGCCAGTCTCCTGGTTCTGCTGCCATTTCTCTGCCACTTCTTCATGCTATCTCATGCTGTCTCTGGTTATAGCTCCCTCTCCTTCTGTCTCCTCGATCTAGGAGGTTCACAGCACAGGGACCCTGGGTCCAAAAGATGTACTCCACTTCTGGCTCTTTCTTGGTGGTAGTGAGGTCCCCCCTCTGCTCTAGAATTTGCTCTCTTTTTAAGCCTAGCAAGATGGCAAAACTGACCAATCTCATTAGGGTTCCATATACCTTATTTGCATTATTAGCAAGCTGTCCAATCCCCCTGGTGGGCCACAAGCATCTTATTTGCATAGTCCCACCCAATCACTGTGTGGAAGTTACAAGACCATGTATGGCTAAAAGGGCCATATTAAGTAATTCACTGCACCATAGGTGTATGCCTATGAGTGGAATTGCTGGGTCTAATGATAACTCTATTTTTAACTTTTTGAGGAACCACCCAATTTTTCCACATCCTCATCAATACTTATTTTCCATTTTTTTTAATTAATTTTTTTATGGCCATCCAAGTAGGTGTGAAGTGATAGTTCATTTTGGTTTTGATTTGCATGTCCCTAATGACTAAACAGGAGCCCTGGTGGCACAGTGGTTAAGAGCTATGGCTGCTAATCAAGAGGTCAGCAGTTTGAATACACCAGTAGCTCCTTGGAAACCCTATTAGGGCGGTTCTCCTCTGTCCTGTAGGGTTGCTATGAGTCGGAATCAACTCAATGGCAATAGGTTTGGTTTTACGGGTTTAATGACTAGACATTGACCATCTTTTCATGTGCTTATTGGCCATTTGTATATCTTATTTGGAGGAATGTCTAATCAAGTCCTTTGCTCACTTTTTAATTGAGTTGTTATTTTGTTGTTATCAGATATATGTTTCCCAAACATTTCCTCCCATTCTGTAGGTTGTCTTTTTACCTTATTGATAATGTCTTTTGATTCTCAAACATTTTTAAGTTTGATAAAGTTCAATTAATCAATTTTTTCTCTTGTTGCTTGTAATTTTGGTGTCATATCCAAGAATTCATGATCAAATTCAAGGTCATGAAGATTTACCCCTGTGTTTTCTTCTATAAGTTTTATGGTTTTTGCTCCTATATTTAGGTTGTTGATCCGTCTTGAGTTAATTTGTGTATATGGTGTGTGTTAGGGGTCCAACTTAATTATTTTACATGTAGAAATCCTGTTGTCCCAACAGCATTTTTTGAAGAGACTATTCTTACCCCATGGAATTTTCTTGGTACCCTTGTTGAAAGTCAATTACCCATAGATGTGTGGGTTTATTTCTGGACTCTCAATTCTATTTCATGGGTCTATATGTCTATTCTTATGCCAGTACCACATTGTTTTGCTTATTGTAGCTTTGTAGTAAGCTTTAAAATTGGGAAGTGTGAGTCCTCCTACTTTGTTCTTCTTTTTCAAGATTGTATTGGCTATTTGGAGCTCCTTGCAATTCCATATGAATTTGAGGATAGGCTTTTCTTCAAAAAAGGCTGTTGGAATTTTGATAGGGATTGTGGTGAATCTGTAGATGTCTTTGGGTAGTATAGACATCTTAACAATGTTAAGTCTTCAAATCCATGAACCACAGGATGGATGTCTTTCCATTTATTTAGGTCACCTTTATTTCAGCAGTGTTTTAAATTTATTCCTGAATATTTAAATTGTTAAATTTACTCCTGAGTATTTTATTCTTGTGGATGCTGCTGTAAATTTATTTGTTTTATTAATTTCCTTTTCATATTATTCACTGCTGGTGTATAGAAACACAACTAATTTTGTGTTTTGATCTTGTTCCCTGCAACTTTGCTGAATTTGTTTATTAGCTCTAGTAGCTTTCTTGTGAATTCTTTGGGATTTCAATATGTAGGATCATGCCATGCAAATAGAGATAGTTTGACTTATTCCTTTCCAATTTGGATGCCTTTTATATCTTTGTTTTGCCTAAATGCTCCAGCTAGAACTTCCAGTTGAATAGCAGTGATGAAAGCAGGCAGCCTTGTCTTGTTCCTGATCTTAGAGAGAAAGTTTTCAGTCTTTTCCCACTGGGTATGATGTTAGCTGTGGGTTTTTTCTATATGTCCTTTATCATACTGAGATAGTTCCCTTTTATTCCTAGTTTTCTGAGTATATTTTTCATTAGGTGTTGGATTTTGTCAAATGTCTTTTCTGCTTCAATTGAGATGAACGAATGGCTTTCTTCCTTCATTCTATTAATGTAGTGTATTACATTAATTGACTTCCTTATGTCGAACCACCCTTGCTTTCCTGGGATAAATCCCACTTGGTCATGGTGTATAATCATTTTAATATGCTATTGGGTTCTGTTTGATAGTATTTTGTTGAGGATTTTTGTACCTATATTCATAAAAGATATTGGTCTGTAATTTTCTTTTCTTGTGAAGTCTTTATCTGGCTTTTAGTATCAGGGTAATGCTGGCCTCATAGAATGCATTAGGAAGCATTCCTTCCTCTTCAGTTTTTTGCAAGAGTTTGTTAAGAATTGGTGT